CTGATATTCGGGCAATAAGCCCCGCATTCTGTATGCACAAGATTATTCTGGAAGATGATGCAAAACCCTCCTTGGAACATCAAAGGAGGCTGAACGAGGCAATGCAAGAAGTTGTGAAAAAGGAGGTGATCAAGTGGTTAGATGCCGGAGTGGTGTATCCTATCTCTGACAGCTCGTGGACTTCAATGGTGTAGTGTGTGCCGAAAAAGGGTGGTATGACCGTGGTGACCAATGCTAATAATGAACTTATCCCAACCCGGACAATGACCGGATGGAGGGTGGGCATGGACTACCGCAAGCTGAACAAGGTGACCTGCAAGGATCATTTCCCATTGCCTTTCCATGACCAGATGCTTGATCATCTTGCTGGGCGTGCCTTCTATTGTTTCTTGGATGGTTATTCAGGGTACAATCAAATTTTGATAGCTCCAGAGGATCAGGAGAAGACAACCTTTACTTGTCCATATGGCACCTTTGCTTTTTCTCGGATGCCCTTTGGGTTGTGCAATGCACCGGCAACATTCCAACGGTGTATGATGGCTATTTTCACCGACATGGTGGAAGATATTTTGGAGGTGTTCATGGACGACTTCAATGTTATGGGTGATTCATTTGATGAGTGTCTGAAAAATCTGGATAGAGTGTTGGCCCGGTGTGAAGACACCAACCTTGTGCTAAATTGGGAAAAATGCCACTTCATGGTGGTGGAGGGCATAGTTTTGGGTCATAAAATTTCAAAGAATGGTATTGAGGTTGATAAAGCTAAAATTGAGGTGATTTCAAGACTTCCTCCCCCTACTTCTGTCAAGGGGGTTAGAAGTTTTCTTGGGCATGCGGTGTTCTACCAGTGGTTTATCAAGGACTTTTCGAAGGTAGTAAATCCTTTGTGCAAGCTGCTAGAAAAGGATGCCAAGTTCGTGTTTGATGAGGGATGTATGAAGGCCTTTGAACTCCTTAAGAATAAGTTTACCACCACCCCGATCATTACCGTACCCAATTGGAGCTTGCCTTTCGAGCTCATGTGCGACGCGAGTGATGTTGCGGTTGGGGCAGTTTTGGGTCAAAGAGTGAAATAAATGTTTCATTCGGTGTACTATGCTAGCAAGACAATGAATGAGGCTCAAAGGAACTACACGGTAACTGAGAAAGAGTTGTTGGCTATTGTGTTCGCAATGGAAAAGTTTCGGCCATATCTTATGGGAGCCAAAGTAATAGTGCACACCGATCATGCAGCTCTTAGATACTTGATGACAAAGAAAGATTCCAAAGCTAGACTGATGCGATGGGTCTTATTACTTCAAGAGTTTGATTTGGAAATTGTGGACCGGAAAGGTAGTGAAAACCAAGTGGCGGATCATTTGTCCCGCTTGGAGGAGGAAGGAAAGCCGTGTGATGGCCTAGAGATCAATGATACATTTCCCGATGAGCAACTACTTTCTGTGTCGATGAGTGATATGCCATGGTTTAAGGATGTTGCTAATTTCCTTGTAACTGGCATCATCCCGTGTGAGCTCTCTTCTAACCAAAGGAAGAAGCTCAAACGGGACAGTCTGGACTTCTATTGGGATAAGCCATACCTGTTCAAGATTTGCACCGACGGAGTGATCCGGAGGTGTGTACCTGAGGAGGAGCAATCTAGCATTCTAGAGGCTTGTCATTCCTCCCCCTATGGTGGCCATCATGGAGGGGCGAGGACAGCTTCGAAAGTTCTAAGTTGTGGATTTTATTGGCCAACTTTGTACAAAGATGCAAGTGATTTAGTGAGAAGGTGTGACCAATGACAAAGAGCGGTGGTATTTCGAAGAAAGATGAGATGACTCTAAACACCATTCTAGAAGTGGATATCTTTGATGTATGGGGTATTGATTTCATGGGCCCATTTGTAAGCTCGTGCGGAAACACCTACATTCTTGTAGCGGTTGATTATGTCTCAAAATGGGTCGAGGCCGTGGCTTTGCCCAACAATGAAGCTAGGAGTGTGGTTGCATTTCTAAAGAAGAGCATTTTTACAAGGTGTGGCACTCCTCGTGCAATTATAAGTGATGGAGGATCGCATTTTTGCAATAGAGCTTTTGACACCTTGCTTGCCAAGTATGGTGTCAACCACAAAGTGTCTACTCCTTATCATCCTTAGGCGAGTGGCCAAGTTGAAGTCTCAAACAGGGAAATCAAGAATATTCTGTCTAAAACGGTCAATGCAAATAGGACTGATTGGTCTAAGAAGTTGGATGATGCTCTATGGGCGTATAGGACTGCTTACAAAGCTCCGATTGGTATGTCTCCGTATCGGTTGGTGTTCGGGAAAGCTTGCCATTTACCGGTTGAGTTAGAGCATAAGGCCATGTGGGCCTTGAGAAAGTTGAACCTTGATTGGGATGTGGCTGCAAATCTCCGGGTTGAGCAACTTAATGAACTTGATGAATTGCGTTTCCATGCCTACTCCAGTTCTTCCTTGTACAAGGACAAAACGAAGTACCTTCATGACAAATATGCTCGTGGAAAGGAGTTTAGAGTAGGTGATTTGGTGCTCTTGTTCAACTCTCGATTACGGTTGTTTCCGGGAAAGCTAAAGTCAAAGTAGAGCGGACCTTTTGAGGTAGTGTTTGTGACCCCGTTTGGTGCCCTTGATTTGAAGAACAAAAATGGGGAGATTTTCCGGGTTAATGGTCATAGGGTCAAGCACTACTTGGGAAAGTTTGATGATAGCCATGTGGTGGTACTTGTTCATTTCAAATGATTAGATGGTAACATGCGTCGTGCCGACGTTAAATCAGGCGCTTCTTGGGAGGCAACCCATGTGTTTTTCTTCTTGTTTTTTGTTGTTTTTCATTGTAGGATAGGTTTTATTTTGGACTAACTAGTTGTGAGATGTTACAGGCTTGTGTGATGCAGTGCAGGACATAGTGGACAAAATATTCAGGTCTCTGAAGTTTTCAATGCAGCAGCACTACATTTAGTACGGACCGCACTGAAGAAAGGGTAAAAATAACAACTCTCTGAAGTTTGCCACCACGGCCGCAGTCCATTTGTGCGGTCCGCGGTAGACCACTGTGGCCGCATTCCATTTTGTGCGGACCGCAGTGGTTTCCTTCTCAAGCTTTGAAACATGCTGAGTGGTGCGAACCACAGTCGATTTTGTGCGGTCCGCACTGGGTTGGTAAGATGGGTCCCAGGTCCTTTTCTATAAATAGGGCCTGAGGCCCTCCCGTTACACTTTTCGAACCCTTGACTCCCAGAACCTCTAAAAACACTGTTCATCATTTCTTTTACTTGCAATTAACTGTTTGGACTTGATCATCTTCATTGCTTCTTACATCTGGTAACATCACATTCTTTTTAATTGTTTTAATTTTGTTATTTTTCTTTTACTTTTTGTTTTCCTTGTTTCTCATCCTGTTCTTCTCGTATTTCTTTCAATTTGGTAGAATTAGGTTAGTTAATTTCTTGATTAAAGTAGCATTAGGTAGTTAAAAACACTGGATAAACACATAGGAACCTTTCTTAGGTGTAAAATTGAACTTAAAATCAAATTACACGGAACCCTAAGTTAGCGTTGATTCTGGGCACTCAGTGCGGACCGCGGTTGATTCTGTGCGGTCCGCGGTGCTTTAGTGCGGTTCGCAATGGCATTTTGTGCGAACCGCACTGCTGAGTGTTGGTTTTCTGAAGTTTGGGGACTGCGACCGCACTACATTTTGTGCGGTCCGCATTGGTCCCAATGCGGCCGCACTACATTTTGTGCGGTCCGCATTGCATGGATACAGAGAGTGGGTAGTCTGAACCCCACCTCTGTGCGGACCACATTGCCATTTTGTGCGGTCCGCATTGACCTCTGTGCGGCCGCACTCTATTTTGTGCAGTCTGCACTGTGTAAAACCTGCAATTGTCTGCAACTTTTTTTTCTATCCTGCAACTGTGACTTAACAACTTCTACTGATACTAACAAAGCATGACTGAATTTGTTTGTAGACAATGGTGAGATCAAAAGGCCAGGGTGCTAAACAACCAGGCAGAGGAGAGTCCTCCTGGGGGAGGGGACGTGGAAAGATAAAATTAATCCCCAAAGTTCGAGAGGCAATTAAGGCAACAAGGAAAGCGATTCAAGCCGTTGATAGAGCTGCTTCCCAGTCCTCGGGGAGTGAGTATGAGCCCTCCCGGGAGATTTCTTCAGACTCCGTGCCAGAGTACATTAAAGACTGGCCGGAGAGGTTCAGGCTAACAGACACTCCTCCACCTCCCCCAGTGCCCAAGCGTCAGTGAATGTATCTTCTGGGTTGTTTGAAGGCTCAGCTGAAGGTAGTGGGAAATACTCCACCTCTCCCACAGCTTCATTATCTGGAGAGGGTGCAGTAGGAGACACTGAGGAAGTAGGAGGAGAAGGAGAAGTAGGAGAAGGGGGTGAACCTCAGGTTGGCGGGATTGCTAGAACAAGAAACCCGAAGGTGTGGCAGGACCGATTTGTCAGTGAGGTAGCTTATCACAAATTTAGGGAATGGTGGCCGGTGAGGAAGTTAATCCCGGAGAGGAGTTTTGTTGATAGATATTTGTTACCTCACAACCGCAATGTGAGGAGGCAGTTTAGGGAGAGAATTGGCTGGGAGTACTTTTTGAGTGAGTGTGTAGATGCCAATGAGCAGTTGGTCAGGGAATTCTACGCCAATGTTGCCCACATCAAAAAGGGCACCAAGGTGACCAAGGTGCGAAACCTGAAAGTGTTGTTTGATGGGAAGACAATAAATGATTACCTAGGCTTTGATGAGGAGGATGAGACACTTTATATGGCAAAGATGGAATTGGGCGAGGAGGTCCGTCCCTGGTTGGCACAGTATCTGGCAATCCCAGGTACCACCCCCGATTGGTTGAATGCGGGCGTCAAGATTCTGAGACGTAGTTTGAACTTCGAGGCAAAGGGGTGGGAAACTTTTGTGTGCAATAGACAGGACCCGACCACTCATGACAACTCCCTCCCTCTTCACCGGGCAGTGTTGGTGGCTTCGATCATGGCGGGGTACCCGATCAATGTGGGAAATGTAATGTCTAGGATAATCACAATTGTGGGCAGTGAGCATGATAGAAACTACCCTTTCCCCAACTTTCTGACTATGTACTTCAGGGACCTAAAATTTGAAAAGAGGCCATTCGACATAACGGTCAAAGCGAAGGCCCCATTCTTTTGGTACAGCATGCACGGGGATGACAACCCAAAGAGCAAGAACTTTAAGGGAACAACTACTGCTTCAACTGGCCAGTCTGAAGAGCTAGTTGTCGTAGTGGCTCCTGCTCAGCCTGCCTCCACTTCCACAGACATCCCTCCTGGCCCATCCACCTCAGCAGACCCGGAAATTCCCTCCTCCCGAGCTTACCCAGTTATTGTTCACCGACTGAGCCAGGCTCTTCTCAGCATCAACAATTGGATGCAGACAACTTCATCCAAGTTGTCTATCCTCACTACTACAGTGGAAGCTCAGTTGGCTCCTCCACCTCCGCAGGTCCCACAGTCCATAGAGGATGCTCTCAAAGAGATTTTGGTCAACCAGAAGAAAATCATTGACAACCAGAAAGTGCTCGCTGATGCTGTTGATTCACATAGCAAGGCTCTCAAGGAGCTTGCTAAGGAGCACAAGAAGTTGAGGAAGACACGGGCCTCCAAGGAGTCCGTGAAGGAGCTGAGGGTTGATGTTGACAGGTTGAAGGCAGACAAGCTACCTTTGGATTTATTGCTTCATGACCCTGCACCAGAAGCTTATCCCCAGCCGGAGCAGTCTCAGAGGCCTCCCAAGAGGAAGAGGATGATTCCCCGAGCGGACGATGCAGTCATCAAGTTGGCAGACCCACCGGAGGCCTCCTCCAGTCAGCCGCAGGATGCATCTCAAGAGCTTGTCCAGGTCCAGGCCCAGGTCCCAGCAGTAGAGCAGCATGCCATAGGGAACCAGTTTGAGGTCCCAGCAGTAGAGCAGCATGCCATAGGGAACCAGTTTGAGGTTCCCGAGCACAGTGAGGACCTAGGGGCCACTCAGGAGCCCATGCAGACAGACGGGCCATAGGGAGTCTCTATATCCTTTTCCCTTTTTCTTTTTGGTGCTTATTTGGTTTAGTTGGCATTGGGGACAATGCCAACTTTCATTTGAGGGGGTAGGCCCTACTTTTTTGTGGATTTGGATGATTGTATATATTTGACAGTTTTTATGTTTTCTTGATTTTTCATCTTTGGTTTGTATATAATTTTAATATTTCGTCACACTTCTCGTACTTTTATATTACTTTGGGTCTGTATATAAAGTTATGTTACATTGTACATATTCATCCCATCTATTGTATATTCGATTAAATCCCCTCTTGTACATATTCATTTTACTTTCCGCAAGTTTTCGTTCTTAGCTTCTTATTTATGTTCGTAGCTTCTTGTTTTGAACGTTTGCAATAAGCCTTCGATTTTCTTAATGCCATGGTTCTTTCCAAAGGTAGAGTTTGTGTGAACCGGGTGGCTCTACCCAATGATGGATGGCGCGACAACCTTCTTAAGGATTTGAGTCTGTTTTTCTTTTCTTTTTGGCTTTTTAGTAGTTAGTGGTTAAGGGTGCCTCAAGCAAAGCCTCACTTGGGCCTAGCACATTTGCCTTTGATCTCACGGTCAAAAACAAATTGTTGTGTTTAGGATGGTGAAAGTCGTGACCCTGAGACTCTTGTGTTGACCGATAATCATCAAGTGATTTTTCGGGACCATTGTGTGCTCAAATCTTATCTAAGGTCGTTGTGGGCCCCCGACTCTGTGTCTTTAGCAACCCCATAGCGTGTGTGGTGAGAAATTGCATTACAAGTCCAAGTCCCGAGCCATTGGTCTAGAACTTGCCCTGAATGTTTGTTGAGGCGAAATCCTAAGTGAATTTTGACTTGAGACATGATTATAGGCTCTCCTTGATCCAAATGATAGCTTAAACACTTCCATAGCCTACCAAAGATGAAATCCCTAGTCAACCCTTTTGAGCCTTAAACCTTTTTCCTTCAAGAACCATGATACAAGCCTGTACCTGTTCTAAAATATACCCTCTCTTGGCACCCGATCTTTCCTTAGCACATGGCAAAAGTATAAGTTTGGGGGGAGAGACGAGGATTGCAACAAAGTGGTAAAAAGGTACAAAATGAAGAAAAGGAAAGGCAATGAAAAAGAAAGAAAAGCAAAAAGACAAAAAGAATACTCAATGTGGAAAAGAATAAAAAAAAAAGGGATTCAAGAAAAGCAAAGAATGAAAGGTGAGGAAAATTGGGAAAGAAAAAAAAAGATTTGAAATGCATAAAAAAGAGTGACAATGTGTCTCTCTTACCCCTTGAAAGAAGTGAAAAGACTCAAAGAGTCAAGTGAATCTGTGCCCAAATGAAACAAAAGAAGTGCTTAAGAGAAGATGGAACCTACTTAGACCAAACATTGCCTACCCGGAACCAAAAGCCTTCACTATGTCTCCATAAAAGCCCTATATGATCTCTAGTTGAATGAAGCTTACATTAGTGGTGACTCCCATAAGGGGCAAGCATATGGTACTTAGTGCCGGACTTGTGACTTTTCTTTGAGAGGGATGAGTGAATTTCCATTAACCTCGTTCTGAGTGCCACTATTCTAAAGGTGAGGTTTGCTTAGGGAGAGCCGAGGATGTGTGAGTTTGGGATCCACAATGACTAAAGTAATAGAAAGAGTCCTTTGATGTGTTGAGTCAACTCTTGATGCTCTTGTGTCACACTTGATCCATGTTGTTTTAAAAGAGTAAATGTTGTTAATGATTCATGTGTATTGAGGGCAATTGTTAGTCCCAATTGGTGCTAAATGAGGTCACTTTAGGATAGCTGAATTGTCTTGGATTTTCTCTTAAGGGGTGGGTCTTATTTTATTTGCTTGAGGACAAGCAAAAGCTTAAGTTTGGGGGAGTTGATAACTAGGGATTTTGATACATTTTATACTCCTCCTTGCTTATGTTTTGATTAGAAATTTGTACAAAATAGTCCCAAAAAGGCTCACGAGTTGTGCTTGATTGCAGGTTTGATCAACAAGGTGACAAGATGTCAAAGATCAGCTCAAAAAGGAGTGAAACTTGCACAAGTATCAAAGCAAGACAAAGCTCAGGCAAAACAAGGCAAGCGGCCGCACACCATTCTGTACGGTCCGCACAAGTGAGGTTCAGAGAGTATGCAACTCAGGCAAATCAGGCAATGCGGCCACATGGGATTTAATGCGGTCCGCACTGAAGTTACTGCGGCCATACTCGATTTTGGTGCGGTCCGCACAAACAAGAATCAGAGAGTTGCTATTTTCGGAGATTGAAGCCAATGCGGTCCACGCTCCATTTCATGCGGACCGCACTAGAAGCCATCGCGGCCGCAGTCCATTCTTTGCGGTCCGCATTGCCTGAGTTCAGAGAGCTGGAATTTTATGTTCAGAGCCCTAGTGCGGCTGCACACCATTTTGTGCGGTCCGCACTAACCCCGCAGGGGTATTTTTGTCCAGACATTTCAACTTAGTATAAATAGCTTCTTTTCCATTTTTAGGTCAAGCAGATAGTAAGTACTGAAGGCTGCGCTTGTGGGTTCGAATATTTTAGCTGTTTTGAGTAATTTTAGCTTCATTTTAACATTGAATCTTCAAGTTTAATTTAGCAATTAATTAATATGAGTTCTTCTTCATCTATTTCTTTGTTTCTTTCTCTAATTATGAGTAGCTAGACCCATCAGCTAGGGTTGTGGCTCAACCCTAGTGTGGGTAATTGATGGGTTTGTATTTTAGAGCTTGATTGACTATGGGTGTTTGATATTTGCGCTAATTCCATGTTTAATTGCTAAATTAGTGGTTGCAAACACTAGTTTGTGTTTAGTTGACTTTTGCTCTTCTTGAGAAAGAGAGCCTAAGTCTCTAGAATTAGTTCAACAAGGAATTGAGGCGTACTCAAGAGAATTGATAGCCCTAATTAAAGGGTTAAACCGAGAGATCATAATACCCGACTTGATCCTCAATTGCTTGTGCAAATTCGCATACCCAATTGGACTTGAGAAAGTCAACTCGGGCAAAATTAGTCGAACTACCGAGAGGTATAGAGTGAGTAGAATCGAGCAATGGTTATATCATACTTCCGAAATGTGTCAATCTAGCGTTAGACTCAAAAATCCGTCAATTGACCATCTAGGCGAAAGTCACTACCCTAGTGCCCTTTAATCATTTGAACCACTTGCAATAGTTTAATCCTAGCTTGTAGTAGTTTAATTGAGCATTGTAGTTTATAGAATTAGAATCATAATTAAAACCCAAAAATGTGTAGAAGTGCAATTTGGAGAAAATACACAACTCCACTTTAGATAGACACCCAACTCCAATATCTAGCTCTCTGTGGAATTCGATCCCGACCCTAAATCGGGTAAAAGCTGCTTCGACCTCTCTCGCTACTTAATAGTAGTGCAGGGTTGGCCGCGATCAAGATGCATGAGCAGCTCAGAGCGGGTGCGGGCGCCCAATCCATTAGGGAGGAGTTGGAGAGAAGAGATGAGGAACTGATGCGGTCTATACGCAGATGCAGCGAGCTTGAGGAGCAACTTCATGTCAAGGATGAAGAGATTGAGGTGGGCAAAGGGGTTGCCGCGGAGTGCGAGGACCTTCAGGCGAAGGTATCGTCTTTACGATCTGAGCTCGACAAAAGTGCTACTAAGGTCGACGCTCTGAGTGCGGAATGGACGGAGAAGGTGGCCGAGCTAGAAAAGAAAGTGGCCGAGATGGAGAGACCAGAGAACGCTCGAGTGTCGGCTTTGGCGAGGGTGGCGGCACTAGAGGATACTATCCGCGTCCTCAGGTCCGAGCGGGAGTCTGAGAGAGAGACGACCATGCTAAGGGAGGCACGGCTCGAGGAGCGAATTGGTGAACTTGATCGAGCCGCTTCGATCTTGGGAGACCGAGTTGCGGCTCTCGAAGCTAAGAAGGCGCAGTTATTGGCTCAAGCTCCCCCTCAAGAGTCTGCTTCGACCATTATTTTTCTGATGATGATGAGGATGTTGGGAGAACGGCGGTGGGGAAGACGCTGAGTGACGCTTTCGCTGCAACCTTTGTACTTAGTTTTTTTTGTTCTTTTGTTGTTTATTTTCATCTTTTTCCTGAGGGCCCGTTTCGGCCTTTTGTAAGGTGCGGTTGTCGCGCATGTATACTTGAATAAAATAGTTGATTCGCCTTCGTTTGTATATCTTTTGATTTTCTTTGTGATGAACCCCCTGATCTTTTTAATTGGGAATCTAACCTGCCCGGATCATGTAGGATCTCATCGTATAAGTCCGAATGAAGTCACTTTGGATCTGCAAGTTCGGGCGAGGTTGACTTCTGATTTGTCAACTTAGGCGGAACCAACCTTAATTCAAACGAGGTCGAATTTAGACTCGCCATCTTGGGCGAAGTCAGTTTTGACTTGTATACTCGAGTGGGATTGAATTCCGACTTACTAATTTAGGCGAAGTTAATTTTTGCATATGTATCGAGCGATGTTGAACTCGGAGTTGCCATATTGGGCGAAGTCAATTTCTGACATATTCGAACGAGGTCGAATTTGGAGTCACCATCTTGGGCGAAGTCAATTTCTGACTTATATATTAGAACGAGGTCGAATTTGGAGTCGCCATCTCGGGCGGAGTCAATTTATGACTTATATATTCGAATGAGGTCGAATTTGGAGTCGCCATCTCGGGCGGAGTCAATTCTGACTTATATATTTGAACGAGGTCGAATTTGGAGTTGCCATCTTGGGCGGAGTCAATTTCTGACTTATATATTCGAACGAGGTCGAATTTGGGGTCGCCATCTTGGGCAGAGTCAATTTCTGACTTATATATTCTAACGAGGTCGAATTTGGGGTCGCCATCTTGGGCAAAGTCAATTTCGGACTTATATGTTCGAACGAGGTCGAATTTGGAGTCACCATCTTGGGAGAATTTTTACTTTTACTTGGCGGTGGCCGACGGTCATAAAGATGTGAAATTAAGAGATCGAAATCATAATCCGTTGTAAACTTGAGCGAGGTCGAAATTTCCTTTCGTTGGCGATGGACGATGGCCGTAAGGGTGTTAATTCGAGCGAGGTCAGAATTGTAACCCGTTGTAAATTCGAGCGAGGTCGAAATTTCCTTTCATGTGGCGATGGCCGATGGCCGTAAGGGTGTTAATTCGAGCGAGGTCGGAATTGTAATCTGTTGTATTATTTTTACTGGAGGACATTACTCGTCACTGCATTGTTTACGCGTGCGTCGGGGCAAGTCCCGTTTTTCTTAATTTTGCTTTCACTGGAGAATACTGTGGATTTCATGGGTGAGTCTCAATTTGCTTAACTTTGCTTCCATTGGAGAATACTGTGGGTTTCATGGGTGAGTCCCGGTTTGCTTAACTTTGCTTTAATTGGAGAATACTGTGGGTTTTATGGGTGAGTCCCCTGTTCTGGAGATTGTTTCTCGATAGTCGACTCGTGCCGAACTGTTTCTGTTATTTGTTGTATGATACGACTTAGGGGGCTTTACTCGGTTGTTGCATGCGAGATGGCTTGGTACGAAACCTTTTCCTTGGGTGTTTTGGTGGCGTTCGTTCCTTGTTCGCGTACCTATGAGAGTGCTCGTGTTCCTGTTTTGAACCAACAAAGAGCGTGATAAGTTAAGCCCAAACGAAATTGCCTTACCTTGGCCTGGCAAGTCGGTGAAAGGAGGAGCGGCGCTGTAGGGTTGCTCGTTTCGCCTCGTACTCGAATGATGGTTTCAGATTTGGCAGTCGTGTTCGGCGTCGTCGTTAATCATGTCTAGGCATCTCGTGGGTTGGACTTATGTCACGATCCGGATTTCCCACCATCGGGATCGTGATGGCGCCTAACTTTTCAAAATGCTAAGCAAGCCAACAGATAAAGATTTAATACGCTAACCACTATCCAAACAGTAAATAACAATAATTAAACCAAAACAAAGTGAAGAAGTGCGGAAATTCATAATAATCTAAATACTAATACATGTCTACCCAAAATTTGGTGTCACAATTCACGAATTTCTAAGAGTCACTACAAACACTGACCGAAATAAAATACAACTGTCTTTGAATTTAAGTAAAAACAGTGAAATGGAAAAACTGGAAGGGGACTCTAGGGTCTATGAACGCCGGCAGATCTACCTTGGGTCTCCTGATGGACTGAAGGCAGCAACCCAACTCAAATCAACACGTTCCAGTACCGAGATCTGAACAGAAAGTGCAGAGTGAAGTATCAGTACAACCGACCCCATGTACTGGTAAGTGCCGAGCCTAACCTCGGCGAAGTAGTGACGAGGCTAGGACACGACAATAATATAAACCTGTGCAGTTAAATCATATACGAGAAGATAACAACAAATGGAAATTAAGCAGATATTAACGGGAAGGGGGAGAACATGCTGAGGGGAATATCAAATCCGGAAATAGTACAGTAAAGAGTCATAGTAAAAAACATGCTTTACACCAACGAAAGTAATAACATAGCGAATAAGTGCACGACATCACCCTTCGTGCTTTTACTCTCGTCCTTACCATAAAAAACAGTAGAAACAACACGGCATCACCCTTCGTGCATTAAGTCTCTCATAACATGGCACGACATCACCCTTCGTGCATTATCACTCACTCACAATACATTGCACGACATCACCCTTCGTGCTTAAACACTCTCCCTCACCCAAACAATGTACAATAACAACAGGGAGATGAAAATATCAAGAACCAGTCTTACTTCAACATTTAATTCTAAAATACAAGTCTCAACTCTGAGTTAATACTCAATCAGTACCAAACTTTGTAAAACATGATAAGAGTTGCTCAACACATGGGATGACAAGTCTAAACATGAAATTTATGATTAAAGAGTATAACAGTTACAAGAATAAGACTAACTCGCATGCTATGACTCGACAACAACGCATAGGTACCTATCACCTTACCTATACGTTGTACTCAATATCAAAACACGTAACAAATAGGCAAGTAGTACCTAATCCCTCAAGCTAAGGTTAGCAACAACACTTACCTCGATTCCACGACCAAACTCAAGCCTCAATCGCCACTTTTCCTCTAGTTTCCACCTCCGAACCACTCGTATCTAGTCATAATTAACATAATAACATCAATTATTGCTAAAGAAATCAATTCCAATACACAATTATAGGTTTCCTAACATTTTCCCCAAAAAGTCCAAAATCGACCCCGGGCCCGCTTGGTCAAAACTCGAGGTTCGGACCAAAACCCATTCACCCATTCACCCCCGAGCCCAAATATGTAATTAGTTTCAGAATTCGACCCCAAATCAAGGTCTAAATCCCCAAATTTGCAAAATCCCCAATTCTTCCTAAAATCCCTAATTCTACCATGAAAGAACAAGATTTAGGGCTAGAAATCTAATCGGTGTTGATCGAAATTGAAAGAGATGAGTTAAAGAACACGAACCTATAATTTGGTGTTGAAATCCCTCTTCAAAACTCGCCCTAGGCTGTGTTCTAGTGAAGAAGATGTGAAAATGTGACCCTTTCCCGTTTTTGGTTCTGTTTTTAAAACACTAGACAGGTCTTCTTTGCATTCGCGAGAAGCCTGTCACGTTCGCGAAGCTTTGGTCCTAATGGCCTTCGCGTTCGCGAGTAACACATCGCGTTTGCGAAGGCATATCCCCCCAGTCTCCGTGTTCGCGATCCAAGTATCGCGTTCGCGATGAGTTAACTTCCCCTCCCCCAGGTCCCATGCTACGCGTTCGCGGTAGACGGGTCGCGTTCGCGAAGGCTAAAGCCCCCGCTGCTCCGCATTCGCGACCTCTCCTTTGAGTTCGCGAAGAAGAAATTTCCCCCTGCCCCTCTTTATCTTTCTCGTTCGCGAGATTACCTACGCGAACGCGAAGAATGGCATATCAGAACAACTGGTGCAGCAAAAATACCAGATTTTCTAAGTCTAAAACATCCCGTAGCCTATTCGAAACTTACCCGAGCCCTCGGGGCTCCAAACCAAACATGCACACAAGTCTTAAAACGTCATACAGACTTGCTCGCGCGATCAAATCGCCAAAATAACACCTAGAACTATGAATTTAGCATCAAATTACATGAAGTTTTCAAGAAAGTTTCAAAACTTCTATTTTCGCAACCAAAGGTCTGAATCACGTCAAATCGGTTCCGTTTCTCACCAAATTTCACATATAAGGTATAAATATCATAACGGACTTGTACTGGGCTCCAGAACCAAAATACGGACTCGGTATCAACAAGATCAATTATTAACCAAATTCTTAGAACCTTTACAAATTCCAGTTTAACAATTTTCATCAAAAAATCATTTCTCGGGCTAGGGACCTCGAAATTCGATTCCGGGCACACGCCCAGGTCTCATATTTTACTACGGAACTTCCGGGACTGTCAAAAACGGGTCCGGGTTCGTTTACTCAAAATGTTGATCGAAGTCAACTAAATTTAACTTCTAAAGTCAAAAATTATTATTTTCTCAAATTTCCACATAAAGGCTTTCCGAAAACGCGCCTGGACTGCGCGCTCAAATCGAGGAGAAATAAAATGAGGTTTTGAAGGCCTTGGAACCCCGAATTGGGTTCTAAAACACAAGATGACCTTTCGGGTCATCACATTCTCCACCCCTAAAACAACCGTTCGTCCTCGAACGGACATAGAAAAGTACCTGAGCTGGGAAAAGATGGGGATATCCGATCCACATATCGCACTCGGACTCCCAGGTAGCTGCCTGAATAGGCTGACCTCTCCACTGCACACGAACCGAGGGATAAACCTTCGATCTCTACTGACGAACCTACCAGTCTAGAATAGCTACCGGCTCGTCCTCGTAGGTCAAATCTTTGTCTAACTGAACAGTGCTAAAATCCAACACGTGGGATGGATCACCGTGATACTTCCGAAGCATGGACACATGAAATACTGGGTGTACCGCTGATAAGCCTGGTGGCAATGCAAGTCTGTAACCCACCTCTCCCACTTGATCAAGAATCTCAAAGGCCCGATGAACCTAGGTATTAACTTGCCCTTCTTTCC